GACGATGCGGCTTGATGTGGAGCCAGAGCTTCTCAACGCCAATGGCGCCGATTCGTCGCCGACGTCGGCGATGCGTCGGCGATGCAGCGCGATCCTCCGACCCCAACTTACCACCACCTCCGCAATGAATTATCCCCCACCCTTAACACCTGAGTCTTTGCTATCCCTTCTCAATACATTTTTGATCAGGGCGGAGGGGCGGCAAGGTCGAAATTTATTATCACAGGGAAAAGTTGCGAATCGCAGTTGCTCTCCTCTTATTTTGACTAGCAAGGATGCCTAAGGACTACGATTGGTTTCCTAAGGCATCCAGTGGACGTCCCAAGGAATCCAATGAATTCCCGTAGGAATGCGACGGATTTCCTAAGGAGCCCTATGGATGTCGCAAGGAATATCATGTATTCCCAACGGATTCTCATATATTAGCCATATTTGTAGATATGTGTATATATTCCAAAATGATGTCCAGGGATTGCCTTCGGAATACTGTGGATATCCTAGCGAAATCAATGGGTTTCCTAAGAAAGTCTATGGATGTCTTCAGGGAGCACAGTGATGTCCTGACAGACCCGATGGATGTCCTAAGGCACCTTGTGGATTCCTGAATCTTCTCATCCTCCACCTTTCGTTCCCGCCCCGATTTGTTTGTTAACATTTTTGGTACAACCAATTGCCGAGCATGAGCCGCCATGGACTCATGTGCCATTGAAAATGGTTAGAACGGATTGAGTTTTCGTAAACAACCGGGGGTCCCGAATCATTTGTTTGAAAACTTGTCCTGGGATTCCTCCACCTCCTCTTTCTCCTCCTCCTCCTGTGGATTTCCTGCGGATGACTGTGCGTGTTCTACGGAAGCCAATTGATGTCCAAGGGACCGTAAGGATCTCCAAATGATGGAGTCCTAAAGAGCATCCTATGGAATCATAAGAATCCGAATGGGTGTCTAAGGAATCAGAATAACCCGATGTAATCCGAATAAACATAAGAATCCGGTGGACATCTAAGTCTTAGGGGATCCCATGGATGTCTAAGGAATCCTAAGAATCCGATGGGACCCTAAGGATCTTAAGAATCCTAAGGATGTCTAGGTCTTGAGGAATCCTATGGGTGTCAAAGGACTCTTCAGATTCCGATGGATTCCCTAAGGGACCCAGCAGTTTTCCTCAGGATTCCTATGGGTACCCCAAGGGCTCCGATGGATTTCTATCCGATTGCTATGGGTGCCATAAGGAATCCAATCGATGTCCTTGGGATTCCTACGGGTATCCTAAGACATCCCATGGATGTCCTTGAGATTCCGATGGGTCTCCTAAGGAATCCGATGGATGTCCTAAGGAATCCCATGGATGTCCTTAGGATTCCTATGGATATCCTATTAAATCCCATGGATGTCCTGAGGAATCCCATGGACTTCCTGAGGAATTCGATGCATGTCCTAAGGGATCCCATGGATGTCCTCAAGATTCCGATGGATATCCTAAGAAATTCCATGGATCTCCTGAGGGTTCCGATGAATATCCTAAGGGATTCGATGGATGTCCTAAAAGACCCAATGGGTTTCCTAAGGAATCCGATGGATGTCCTAAGGAATCCCACGGATTTCCCTAGGATTGCTAGGGATATCCTAAGGAATCCTATGGATGCCTTTGGGATTCCTATAGATTTCCTAAGGCATCCGATGGATGTCTTAAGGAATCCTATGGATTTCCTTCGGACTCGTATGGGTATCCTAAAGACTAAGAATCTAATGCGTTTCCTGAGGGATCCGATGGATATCCTAAATAATCCTATGGATTTCCGGAGGAATCCAATACATATTCTGAGGCTTCCTATGGATTTCCTTGGATTCCTATGGATGTCCATGGGATTCCCATGGATTTCCGAAGGAATCCTATGGATGTCCTAAGGATTCCTATGGATTTCCTTTGGATTCCTATGGATATCCTAAGGCATCCCCTGGATTTCCTAAGGAATCCGATAGATTTCCGCAGGAATCCTTTGGAATTCCTTAGGAATCCCCAAGGATTTCCGAAGCAACCCAATGGATTTCCGAAAGGAATTCCTATTAATTTTTAAGGACCCTTATGAACGTTCAGGATCAGATTTATCATCATCGTCGTCTGCGATCTCCGGGAAAACGTTTATTATCCCTCCTGGACCCCGAACTTTCCTAGCCCCAGGGGTGAATATCAGGAGGTGGTGGTTACTCGGACCGCATCTAGGAGGCCTCTAGCACTCGCTCCTGCGTGCTAGGGTCTGGCTCACGGGGGCACCGAGAAGCGAATCGGCCAGCGCGCAGGAGAGGGGGACAGAGCAGAGACCCAAACGCGCATGCCGCAGACCGCTACTGTGGCATCGCGTGGGCCGCTCGGCAAGTCGCGCACCGGAGGTTCCCCTTGCCCAGGATCTCTCCCCATAGCCGTGCTGTTCTATGAGCGTGGCTCCGCGGAGGTCTGGCCCCGGCCCCCCCGGGGACAGGCTTCTCATCCTGAGCCGGGCTTCGACGGCCAAGAGTGCCCTCAAAGAGCGAAGATTGATAACGCTGTCCGTCGTGTTCTCACCACGTCGAAGGTGCCAGGGGTCTCAGCTGCGGTCCGACGCTGCGAGAAAATGCGACCTCGCGAAAAGTCAGCACCGGCGCTCCAGACCCCACCTTTCTGCACACCGTCGATCTGTGAGGGCCCTCTGGCCCCAAACGGGGCGACACTGCCCGGTGCGAGAGGGTCACACCGCCAGGATCTCAGAGTTGCCCCAACCTCTTGGAGGTTTTCGGGCCACAGTTCGCCTCTCCGGCTACTGCTCGGGACGATCCGGGCCCCCCTCGGATCGCTCTCGGCGAGGCGCAGCTGTTGGAAAACAACGGAAAGCATTTGAAACACTCCGAAGCTCAGTGAAGCCGGCGGGCAGGCGGACTGGCGTGCAGCCGCGTCGGGCACCATGCTGACCTCCTAGGGCTCACGTCGCCTCCTCCGATTCAAGTCGATTCGATTTCGATTGCGATTCGACTTCGGAGTCCGATCTGGATTCCGATTTCTCAGCAGGGGAGGCTTTACTAGCCCGCCCCTCTCTGCCGATCCGACTTCCTCCGACATGGCGGCTGCCTTCCGCCGAGCCGACTTCTCGATCCGACGCTGCGCTCACCTGGCCTCCCCCGCACTCCCGCTCGGCCGCGGAGCCGCGCGCCCGCGGGGCGCACACGATGGGCGCTGCGGGGCGCCAGGACGGCCTTGTCCACCCTGCGGCCGCCGGGGGGCTCCTTCGGCCTCGGCCTCCGGGGCTCCAGAGGGAGGAGGAGGGGGAGGGGGAGGGCGAGGAGGAGGAGGAGGAGGGGGGGGAGGAGGAGGAGGGGGAGGAGGAAGAGGGGGACCCTGAGATCCTGGCGCTGCATTTTGTTCAACGCGGGCGTTTTCGCTTCGTTTCGGGCCCTGGGACCCTCACAGACCGATTCAGCTCGCAAAAATCCTCAGAAAGATGGGGTCCAGGGCTCTGGTCATGATTTTTGCCGGCGATGTTGCAATTGTTGGTAACGTCGGATCTCAGGGGAGGCAGGAGGGAGAGGGGAGGAGGGGGGAGTAGGAGGGAGGAGAAGAAGGATGAGGAGGCGGCCTCCAGAGCCCTGCCGAGGTTCGGCCCCCTGGCACCATCACAGATCGATCCGTCGAGACACGTGCAGTAGAAAAGTGGTTGTAGGGCTCCGGTTGTGATTTTCGCTATGCTGCAATTTTTGTTGCAAGGTCGGATCTCAGGATTCGGTGGCACGCGGTGCATATACGCATGTTTGGGTCCTGTATCCGAACGCTCCACATGCCGAGTTGCCTGGAGATCGCTCCTCCACGCGGTGCTGATGGGTGGATCCCCGCCTCGGATCCCGGGCCTTTCACCCTCCGAAGGGCGACGGCGACGGCGACGGCGACCTCGACGACCCTCAGATCCGGGCATCGCGTGAGCATCGCGGCGGCCGGTGTTTCGTCGTGTCTCGGCCGAGGCCGTGTCTCGGCTTCAAGACCCTCAAAAATGCTCAGCAGGAAGAGCTGGCCTTTGGGACATGGTGGAGGTTGTTGTGGGGCTACGTCGCGATAAAATGCAAAGTCAGAGGGAAGGGAAGGACGGTGATGACGACACGACACTGACAGCGATGACGACGACGACGCCGACGACCACGGCCACGGCCACATCGACGACGATGACGTCGTCGACGACGACGACGACCACGAAGACGACAACGACGACGACAACGAAGACGACGACGACGGTGGCGGCGGCGACAACGACTATCGCTTCTTCGCTCAAGCGCGGTGGTAATGAGGGCGCCAGCCCGACTGGTCTGGCTGATGTCTGGGGGCGGGCCCTGGACTCACCAAGAAAGCTTCCAGGACAGCACCAGAAGCCCCCAAGATGCACCAGGAGGGCACCAGGAGGACCTCCAAGAGGTCGCCCAAGAGGTCAAAGCCATTAAGTTTCCGCGCCACAGAGGGAAGTGGACATCTGCAAAGTTCAACTTACGCAGCTCCGTGGATTGAATCCACGGAGTCACGCCAGTGCGTGCGTGTGATATGTTTATACAGTGTATATATATATATGTACCTACAAATGTATACATATATAGTGTGATGCGGACATGCATATACTTATATATAGGTGTATAGATGCATATGTGCTTGCAATACATATTCATATATGTAAGTATGCGTGTTTAAAGATGTCTACGGCAACACACTCATTCATATGTTTATACGTGTATGTATTGATCTGTGCGCATCTATGCATAAGCGTGTATGCACACATTCATCTATATAGAGGGGAGAGAGAAAGGTGCATCCGCTGCTGGGCCGCGTTCTTGGGATGTGTTGTTTGCGACTTTGGCATCCAGTAGGTCCGTAGCCTTTTGGCAAGGGCAAGAACAGGGGGAAAGCGGCTCCCGGAGCAACGCCCAGCCATGGCGCTGCGTGCCCGCCCGTGCTGCCGGTAGCCTTCGCCGTCGGGCCGCCGGGGAGGGGGCGATGTGCCGCTTGTGCGCCGTGCTCTCGGATGAGGCGGTGCTGCTTGCCGACATCCTCCTGCGGCCGCGCATGTCGCTGGTCCTCAGAGGAGGAGAGGGGGAGAGGGGTACTCGTGCCGCTGCCCTTCTCTCGTTCTCCCCCAGCTTAGGCCTCCTGGGAGGCCCTCGTCGCCACGGCTGGATTCGCCTGGAGATCCTGGTCAGAACGTGCCCCTTGAGAGGCCCCGGGAGTGGCGGTATCTGTACCCTTCGGCTTCCCCAGGTCCGGCAGAGCTACGCGGCGCAGGAGCGCCGTGCGCTGCCGCCCGGGGCGCTGCCCAGCATGGCCTACCAGCAGCCCTTCCTGAACGCGGACGGCTTCGGAGTGGGCTGGTACGCTCCCGAGACGGTACTCCGAGGAAGAAAAGGTGCACCGACGCCGCTCCTGGCCGGTGCACCGACTGGGCCTCCTCATGGGAGGCCGTCGTCGCCACGGCTCGATCCGCCTCGAGAATCAGCTGGGAGAGGCCTGGGGTCCGGGGAATGCCGGTATCTTTTTGGTTCCCCTAGTTGGCCGGGCAAGAGTCTGGCGCGATCCGGAAGCCCTGCGTGTTCACCTCGCTGAAGCCGGCCTGGAACGACGCCAATTTGACCAACCTGTCCGAGGAGGTGCGCTCGCCGCTGATCCTGGCTCACATTCGAGCCGCGGGCCCCTCGCTGCCGGTGTCGGATGCCACCTGCCACCCGTTCCGGGCTGGGCGCCTCCTCTTTGCCCACAACGGCATGGTGGGCGACTACGAGGGCGTGAGACGAGCACTCCTGGCAGACCTGACCGACTACGCTTTCACGAAGGCCGTCCAGCACGGCTGCATCGACTCCGCGGTGGCGTTCGGGGTGCTGCTCACGGAGCTCGGCGTGACGGACGAGGAGGGTGCCTTGCGCGAGAGGTCCGCCGAGGAGCTCTGCGGCGCGCTTGGCCGCATGATTAAGAAGATCGTGGCTGCGGTGGCGGGCAAGGATAGGCAGTTGTACAACTCCACCATAACCACCACCCCAGGCCATCGCCATGTTCGGCCCATGGGATGGTGTATGATCCGAAAGAGAAGTGAATGCATGATATGAACTCTGGGAGTTCCGCGCGAATGTCTCAGATCTGGGCCCCGATGGCGGCGCCCCTGGTGCCGCCCCTGGTGCGCTCCGCTCGCCAGGGAGGGGGGTCCAGCGACGATCTAATAAGTCCGCGCGGACCTCCGCAAGTTTCTTTTTATACCTGGTTCTTCAACTGAGGCACTCCTGGTCGTGGCCTCGAGGTTGTATACACCACTCCCGGGCCCAGGTGGCTCCAGCCACTTCCCATTCCTGTCAGGAGGAGTCCCTCCTGAACTGCGTCGTGTGCGACGACCGCAGCATCGTCGCCTGCCGCTTCGCCACCTCCCCGAGCGCCGGCGGTCTCCATGACGGCTCCGAGGCTGAGGAGCTGCAGCCGCTGGGAGCGTCGCTGTACCTCAGCGTGGGCTCGCGGTGGGTGGCCTCGCCAGACGACCCCATGACGTACCGGATGAGGAAGGGTGCCGACGTCAAGTGTTGCACGGCCATTCTGTCGAGCGAGCCGCTGACGTCGGTCCGAGAGGAATGGCTGCCCATCGCGCCGAACTCCGTGGTGGTCTGCCGCCTGAGCAAAGGCCAGAGCCACCCCGTGGACGTCTTGCTGTACCCGCTGCGCCAAGGTCCCCCCCCGTCCGTAGCCGCGCTGCTGGACGGCAGCGGCCAGCTCGAAGGGGCCACCGCGGCGCCCGCGCTGGACTCTCTGGCTGGAGCCCCTGCCGTCCCCGCCACGGCGCCTGCGCTGGAGGCGGCGCCTGGCTCCTCCGCTGCCGCCGCCAGCCGCTCCGAGGCCTGGATGACCTTCACCGGGCACTCCGAGGACGTCAACTGCGTGACGGCGCTCTGCGATGGCCGGGTCATCGCCGCAGGGTCCATGGACGGCTCGTTCCGGCTGTTCGACACCGCCAGCGCGAAGACGCTCGTGGTCCGGAGGCACAGCGACTCCAGCGGCGCGGTGCTGGCGCTGCTGGCCCTGCAGGGCCCGTCGGCTTCGTCCTGCTTGCAGAGCCGCGAGAGCTCGCCCGAGAGCTCGCCCGCGAGCTCGCCGCGGCGGGCGTCACCGCCGGCGTCGCCTGGCTGGCCGGCGCGCCGCCGCGCGTCGTCGTTCAGCGGGGCGGACCTGGACGTCCTACTGTCCACGTCGCAGAATGAGTTGAGGGTGTGGGATATGACCAGCTGTCGCACCGTGGGGTGCTCTTCCGCCTGCGTGGGCAGCGAAGGCGAGGGCCCCGCGGAGCTGGAGGTGCCGTGCCTGTTCTGCTTCCGGTTCTCGCCCAACCAGGGCCAGCTTCTGGCGCTCGCGGGGACCCTGGACTCCCTGGTCCTCGGCTTCCAGAGCACGCGCGTGTTCCGGCTCCGGCTCGCCGAGGGCTGGTGCCGCATGATGCAGACGAAGCGTCGTAGCCGCACCACCAAGCACGTCACCCTGAACGTGGACACCTCCCAGGTCACCCCGTCGGGCAGGGACTGCCCCTCGGCGGACGGCCGGTCGCAGAAGTTCTGCCACCACGCCCTGCTGGAGCCGCTCCACGGCGGCCACATCGGCTTCGTGTACTGCGTCGCACACGAGCCGTCCGCCGGCGTCCTGGCGTCCGGAGGCGGCGACGGGCGCCTCGTGTTCTGGGGGCCCGGGGGGCCCCGGGCCGTCTTCCCGCACGGCGCCGCCGTGCTGGCCATGGCGCTGTCCCCCGGGGCGGAGGAGCTCTTCTCCGGCGACGTGCGCGGCAGGATCCGCATCTGGGACTGCTCCGCGGTCGAGCGGGGCAGCAGGGCCGTGCTGTCCGCCGGGGGCGCTGCCGCGGCGGTGCTGTCCCTGGCGGTGGCGCCCGTGCGCGGCGACGCCGCCGCGGCTCCGCGCTGCCTGCTCTTCGCCGGCGACGCCAGCGGCGCCCTGCGCGTGTGGGACCCGCGGCGCTGCGTGGCGCTGCGCGAGTTCTCCACGTCGATGACCTGCTGTGCCGCGCTGTGCACCCTGGGCGAGCCAGACGAGGCGCCCAGCGGGCTGCTGGTGCGCCTCGCTTGCGGGGGGTGCAGCTCGGGCGCGGTGCGGCGCGTCGACGTCGTGGTGCCATGGGCCGACGGTGACCCGGCCGAGGACACGCACGCCTGCAGCCTGTGCGGCGATGACAGCTCTTTCCGCGGGTCTGCGGCCAGGCGGCTGCTCTTCCTGCTGCTCACCGACTTCGTGGGCATCCCCACTATCTCCACCGACCCCCTCTTCGCGCCGCACCTGCGCCGCGGCACCGCGTGGCTCTCGGAGCGCTTCGAGGAGCTGCTGGGGTGCACGGTCCGCGTGTCGGGGCACTGCATCGCGGCCCGCTGCGGCTGGGACGCCGCCAGGCCCTCGCGAGGGGCGAACAGATCCCCTCCAGCGCCCTCGCGGACTGGACTCCGGGACGCGAGCCCGTGGATGCGCGATCCCGTGGCTGCGTCCCGTGCCGGCCATCCGAGGGACAAGCGCCCCGCATTCGTGGGGCCGCGGCCTCGCGGGGCCCGCCCCGCGAGGCCGGGGACGTGGTGTGCGCCTCCCGCCCACGAGGCCTCTGGTGGTCCTGTACTCCCACTACGACGTGGTGGAGCCCGGCAGCGGGTGGGTGACAGACCCCTGGCAGGCGCCGAAGAACAACAACAACCACAACAACAACAATTACAACAACGACAACGACAGCGACAACGACAATGACAACGACAACAACAACATCAACAACAGCAACAACAGCAACAACAACAACACCAACAATAACAACAACAACAACAACAACGACAACGACAACGGTAACAACAACAACAACAGCAACAACAACAACAATGGCAGCAACAGCAACAACAAAAACAGCAACATCAACAACGACAACAACAACAGCAACAGCAACAGCAACATTAACAACAACAGCAACATTCACTACACAAGCAAACATCTTTCGGAGCTCCGCACGGATGTCTTGCACCGGCGCTGAGCTTCCCTCTCCCGGCGCTGGAGGGCGCCGCCAAGGGGGACCCGTTCAGATCCAAGCAATCCGTGCGGACCTCGGAAGGCGTGCTTGCTTACGTCGCTGTTTTGTCCTCTCTACAGCCAACCCGCAGAGTAAGGATTTACCAGCCTCGAACTTATCCCTACCCCTAAGATTGACAAGGCGATGTCAATCTTAGGGATGCGCCCTTAAAAAATAAGGGAATCCCTAACATTGGCGTCGTGATGAGGAGATGCCCAGCATAGGGATAGGGATATGTTCTAGGCTGGTAAAGGATAAGGGTACCCTCACATCCTTGCCTCCTCGGCCCATCCTTGGCCGCTTTCGTTGGCCGCGCCCCGCTCGGAAAGCTTCGAAATGGGCGCCCAAGGCCCTTGCATCCTTATCGCGCATCCTTACTCTGCGGGTTGACTGTAACTGCGTCAGAGGAGCAAAACACTCAGAGACATAAACCATCGTCGTTTCCAGAGACGACATATGGGGAGATATGGGAGGTGGAGGGGAAGACGGAAATGAAGAGAATCTGCGCAAGTATGGGAAAGCCTGGGACCTGTGTCTACCCAGACATGCGACGTCCTGATTTTTGGAATGCGGCGTCCCCGAAAATCCCGACCCTTTCCCCAGGACAGCTTCTGCATCCTGAGTCGTTTTCTGACCCTCCTGGGGTCCGGCGAGGGCCATCAGGGCCCGAACATCGTGCCACCCCAGTCCTGATTGTTCTACGACGCGGTCTTGCCTGGGTGCCCATCTCTGCGCCCCCTGGGCCCCTGCGAGGTGAGCGCCGCCGACGGCTACCTGCACGGCCGGGGCGTCAGCGACAACAAAGGGCCCCTGCTGGCCCAGCTCTTCGCCGTGCGGCGCCTGCTGCAGGCCCGCGGGGCCGCTCCGGCGGCGGGCGGCGAGGACATCGTCATGCGCATCGACGACAAGGAGGAGTTCAGCTGGTCCTCGGACGAGCGAAGAACGGTATAAGATAAACTGTTTCGCTGTCGGGGGCGCCTGTCCCTGGGCGGCTGGAAAGTTTCTACCCCTGCGGTGCCACCGTAGGGGTATAAACTTTCCAGCCGCCCAGGGACAGGCGCCCCCGACAGCGAAACAGTTTATTGTATACCGTTCTTCGCCCTTTAGGGTCCTCAGATGAGCGACGCACAAAATCAGAGCGTGAATTACCCACCCCGCTTTCGCTTCCAGGCAAAGCCAAGTCATGCCACGCGCCTCCTCGTCAGGCGGCCTGACCAGTACAGGCCGTGGCTTGGCATCGCTTGGTATCTCTTGGAAGCGAGGGTGGTCAAAAGCGAGGTAGGTTTGCTTGCCCACTACAAAAGATCGGTATCGTCTGCGCCGACATTCGTGTGTTGGGTGCCCGCGTAAGGTCGCGCGTACGCGCCCTCGCGTCCAGCGTGGCGTGCCGCGCGGGCGGCCCGCGTAAGCCACCGCGCAAGGTCGCGGTGCCACCTCGCGGAAGCCCCGTTTTTGATCGTCGCTCGGATGAAGAAGAGGTCGACGTACCGCTGCCCTCCCCTCGCTTTCCCCCTGCTGGGTCTCCACAGGAGGCCCTCGGGTCTCCATGGGAGGCCCTCGTCGCTACGGCCGCATTCGCATCGAAGTGCTGGTCAGAACGCACCCCGGGATAGGTCCGGGGAGTCGCGGTGTCGGTGCTTTCTGCTTCCCCCCAGGTCCGACAGCTCGGGGGGCGCCGGCTGACCGAATCTGTTTTCTTAGGGTACCCTTGTGAGCGGGGTAAGTGGCTTGGCGGGCTGAGGGGGGCTTGGTATCGCTCGGACGTGTGGTTTTTCCCTTCCGCGAGGACCATCGAGGAGCATCCTTGATCATTTGGCGAAAAAGCCACGCACGAAAACAACAAAACACAGGGAATAGACGTCCGAGCGATGGCAGGGGGGGGGGGGGGGCAAGCAGCACAGGCAGCAGCGGGAGCACGAGCGGCTGGAACCGCAGCCATGTTCGGCCGCGCGCAGAGGAGGACGGGGGGGAGGGGGCACGGCTCATCAGAAGCACCCCCCTGCTTCTCAGCCCTGCTTCTCAGAAGGCGCGGGCCTTCTTTGTAGATTTGAGGCCGGCGCCTTTCAGAAGCAGGTTCCTTCTAAGACGCCTCTCCCCCCTCCCCCTCCCCTCCCTGTGTGCGCCGCCGACGTTCACCCCGCCGACGGGGGCCCCGAAAGAGCCAGACCTACCCGATGACCACCTCACCGATCTTGGCCAGCTCCCGTCCTGGGCCCGGTGCGTGGGCGTCTGCGACCCCTCGGGCCCTGGCCAGGGAGGCGCCTGCGCCGGCCCTCGGGTCCGACGCTGCGACCAAAGTGGCAGCACGCCCCTGCAGCTTGCAGGCGCGTCTGGCCTGGCCTGACGACGGAGGAGGAGGAGGAGGAGGAGGAGGAGG